GGTTTGGGGAGGGGTCAGTGATTTTGGAGATATGGTTTGGGGAGGGGTCAGTGATTTTGGAGGTAAGGTTTGGGGAGGTGTCAGGGTTTTTGGGGGGGAAGAGGTTGGGGTTTTAGTAATTTCGGGACAATCTGAGTGTTTGAGGGACAACAGGGGTCAATGTTGAGGTTGTTGAGATCTGGGAGCTTGCTGTGCGTCAGAGAGTCACGCTTTAGCGGTGTCCATGGCTTTTGGGGGTGACATTACTTTGGGGTTGAGTCTTGAGAGTCATTTTTTGGGGGGTCAGCATTTTGGAATGTCACCCCTCCCCCCTCCCCATGGAAGGACGGAACATCACAGTGTTTGGGAATGTCGGGATTTAAACCAATATTGACATATTTCGAGCGCGTCGGCATGTCGGAGGGTGAGGATTCCAGGTTTCTGGTTCTTCCTGGTCCCGAGATCCCAACGGATTCTGGTCAGGCCCATGGTGTGGAATTCTGAGGAGAAAGAGAGAGAGAGATCAGAGGAGAAGGTCAGTGGAGTTTTGGGCCGGGGCGGGGTGCAGGGTTGAGGAGATGGGGGGAGGTGAGTTGTAAGTGGGATCTTGCTGTGCTGGTAGAGAGGAGGTTCACTCACCCGCACTCGGCACTATCACCGTTTGGCCAGTCTCCGCAGGAAGCAGCAGGTCACTGCGGTAATGATGGCGACGGCGACGGAGAGAGACAGAGCCGCCCCGACCGACAGAGGGATCACAAGGGTGTCCGAGGCTACAAACCAAGCAGTGGGCAGTGGTCAGCACGTCGCTTCGATACTCAACCCCTCCCCCGCAAACTGTGGGACTCCCCTCTACCCCCCAAAACTGTGGGACCCCTCACCCCCTCCCACCCAAACTGTGGGACACCTCCACCCCTCCCCAACCAAAGTGGGGGACCCCTCACTCCCCCCACCCAAACTGGGACCCCTCACCCCCTCCCCCCACTCCAAACTGGGTGACCACTCACCCCTCCCCCAAAAACTGTGGGACACCTCACAGCCCCTCCCAACCAAATTGGGGGACCCCTCAGCCCCCCCACCTAAACTGTGGGACCTCTCACCACACCCCGCCCAAACTGTGGGATCCCTCACACACCCCCCCCAAACTGTGGGACCCCTCAACACCCCCACCCAAACTTTGGGACCCGTCACACCCTCCCCGCCAAACTGTGGGACCCCTCACCCCACCACCCACCCAAAGTGTGGGACACCTCACGCCCTTCAACCCAAACTGTGGGACCCCTCACCCCC